AAGTCTGAGTTGGATCGTTACTTAAAAGATGATATGATGTCAAGAACTTCAAATTTTCATATACTATCTTTTTGGAAGACAAGTGGTCCCAAGTATCCCTTGTTTCAAATGATTGCTAAAGATCTTTTTGTTATTCCTATGTCTACCGTTGCCTCGAAATTTGCTTTTAGCACAAGTGGGAGGGTAATCAGTCTACATCGCAATAGACTTCTTCCAACTATATTAAAGACTTTAATGTGCTCTCAAAGTTGATTATGGGCTGAAGAATGAGGTAATGAAATATTATTTGTACATGCATCATAATTTTTTTTTGGGGGGGTAAAGTATGACTAATACATTATTTTTTTTTTGTTAGGTTCATCCACTTCGACAGGCCTGAAGAGTTACACATTATTGGAGGATCTTGATATAGTGATGAGGCATATCATTTTAGTTGAAAATTTTCATTTGGAAGAATTTAATAGTTTTTTTTTTCTTTTAATGATGTAAGAAAATGATGTTGAAAATTAAATTCTGCCACCACCGATGGTGTTAAGAGATGATTGAGTTGCTAATTTTTTAATTTCAACCAATCAATTTTATTAGAAAATACAAAATATTTTTTATACATTTATTATAGTTTTTTATGTTTTATTTTCTTTATTAAATTACAAATGTGAAACTACATGACAGAAAAGTTTCTCCATTACAAATATTCAAGTGGTATTTTAGACCTTTGTTATTTGTGTTATGTTGGATTATGTTATGTTGCATGATATTGTGTTGGATTTAAGTGGGCGACAAGGTTTTAATTATATTATGTTGGATTATGTTGTAGACAAGCTTTTAATTATGTTATGATATTTTATAATTATGTTAGATTATTTAGAATGTTGAATTTATTTAGAATTTTAGATTATATTGGTTTGGGTTTGGGTTTGGGTTAGGGCCGGTACGTTGAGGGGGTAGGGGTGAAGGTGGGGGACGGGGCAGAGATTATAAATTTATTCACGAACGGGGTTGAGATAAAAACTATATCTGTTAATGAGGGTGGATAAAGTTTTTTTAGGCGGGTATGAGGATAGAGACTACACCCCTACCCCCGCTTCGATCTACTGTCATCCCTAGGCTGAAGACCGAAAATATGAGTTTTTTTGTCAGACACTTTGATAAAAATCTCAAGGAAAAAGTTTAGAGAAGGAAGAGAGGACCTAAGGTATGAGTGCACTTTAGGGGGGGGGGGCATTGCATACATGGCCTTCTCGATGTCATAATCCCGCTATGACTAGTCATAATCATTAACATTGGGAGCCTCATTTCACCTCGGCTGTCACATCTCTCCTCGGGGGGCTACGTCCATGTTTCATTTGTGGAAATGCCACATCTACTTAATTAATGTTGGGGACATCTGATTCGTGGTTAGCGACCATTGATATTGTCATGGTCGAGATAGTTGTGGGTTGATGCAAGTGTCAAATGGTCATGACGGGTAGCCTGACCTGTCTAGACACTATGCTATAAATACCTGCATTATTTGCCTATTGTGAGGGGGATTTTGGAATTTTGTACTTGGCTGGTGAGAGCATTTATTCTTCCTACCCTGTGTCCAACTTGTTGGTACCTTCATTAGTAGGCTGCTGGAGTTCCTTTCATCACATCCACTTATCTTATTCATTTAATTCGATTATCCTTGTCATAGACACGTGTATCAGTCTCTTTTAACTCCCCACTCACAAAGATTTATTGACGTGAATAAATTTTCACTATGAAAAATGAATTGAAAGATACTTCAATTATTTTGTATTTGCCAAAGTAGATAACCCATATTCTCCACCCTACTTTTTGACTAATTTTAGAGAAAAAGCTATTAATTACATATACAAATGTTTTGTAGCACAAGTCGACAGACAATGTGGGTTGGGTTCCGATGGACCATATTTTGCATCAATGGAAAGGGTCCCACATCATATGGGTGTATCATAATGAGACCCATGATTTATCTTTCTAAGACAAAGCTGTTAGCCTTCTTGATGGACCAATTGGAGTCTAGCTCAAATTTTAATACTTGCAAAGACTTATATCTCAAGAATGTATTAATCCAAAGAACATAGCCACTCAAAGGTAAGAAACACTCAACTTCCTCTATAAAGATGGGTGAAGACCCAAAGGTAGAGAGGCCTCAAGTATGAGCACCTCAGCTCCATACTCTACACACGCATCTATATTATTTTTCTTAGTTTATACGCGCCTAATTCAGTTATTGATCGTAGTGTTGACTTAAACATCGGAGGGGCCTCCCTGGTTCAACGCCGGGGGTCCCTCTAACATCTCTTTGATTTTGTAGTTCATGGATTTGATGATACTCAAAAGCCAACGGTACACCTCAACTCATTTTAGTGATTGTGCAAATTTTAGCCCGCACAAGTTCCTTCCAAAACTTTTCACACGGGTCTAAGCAATAACTTCTTACATACTCACTTTATATCATAAAAATTATAAATTTTTTGAGTTAATTTTTAATTTTTCTCTTGTCAATTTATTACAAAAAGAATTAGAATTAATTATACAATTATAGAATTGATTTTAGAAAAACAAAAATTTTGGATCAAGTTACTATCTTTTAGAGTCAGTTGTAATATTTTAGGTTGTTTAGGATCAACACTAAAATTTAGAATTTAGTTTAAACACCCCAAAAAGCAAAAAAATTTGTCACACTCATTCTAATTTATCATATCATTAAGGACACTCCCTCTATTATCCGAAAACATCGTTGACATTCCTTCTAGTTTATATTTAAACATCACTGACACCCCCTGTCTTTAAACCATTGTTTCTAACAAAACAAAAAATTATCCCTACATAAACCTAAACAATTTTTCTACATAAAATTCGATTTGAATCGATTAATTTTTTTTTCTACATATTATAATTCGAATTGATTAAAATTTATTTTTTATATATTAAAATTTGAACCCAATAAAACTCGATTTGAATTGATTAAATTTTATTTTTTTACATATTAAAAATTGAGCCTATTGAATTTTTTTCTACATATTAAAATTGAGCCTATTTAATATGTAAAAAAATTTAAAAAATAGAAAGTGTCTCATTGAAGATATACATATCTAGAAGAAGTGTTGGTGAAATTTTTTCTAAAATATATCATAGGCAATTTAGTAAAATTGCATTATAGTTAATATCTTTAACTTGACAAGGGGTGTCGGCTAAGATTCAAAAAATAAAGGAGATATCCTTAAAAATATGATAAATTAAGAGTTTCCCAAAATTATAGTTAGACGTTAAAAATTATATTGTAGGTACCAAAAAAAGACTTTCCATAGGTGATAAAGAATTTAAGGGATGTCCCGAGTTCAAATATTAATAATCTCTTAGAATTAGACTTGAAAAATTAACGTCTTATGAATAATTTAGTCACAATGTGAATAATTTCTTTAAAATTAGCCGGGGTGTTGATAAATTTTTTGAACCAAAAACAAAAAAAAAGATAATGAAGGGTAGGTGGTGACCGTAAAAAAGGGTAGCTGGGACACTAAATAAGGAGTCAAGTCAAGTTTTAGAAAGAGAAAGAGAGATATGTGTGCGAGAGAGAGAGAGAGAGAAAGGGGTTGGGACTTATTCCAAAGTTTTAATGCCTTTATTAAATACAAGACCTTCTGTTACGGCACATATATCTCAGTCCATTTTTGGATCTTATCCCAAAGCTAACTTTATAAGGAGAAAAAAACTTTATTTGGAGAAAAATACATGTATAAGGACATGATATATATATATATAGAGAGAGAGAGATTGACACTGTACTAAAAATTACAAGTAAATAAAATTAATTAATGGAGTCAAATTATGATTCAAAAAAATATTATAACTAATTCTAAAATATTATGATTGATCTCAAATAATTTTATTTGTCGTAATTTTGATATAATTTACTAATATCTCGTGGTAATATTTCATACCAAACTGTAATCTATATTTATTATTATACATAAATGGAGAGAGGAGGGGAAGAGGGGGAAAGAGAAAGAGAAAGGAAGGGAGAGGGAGAGAGAGAGAGAAAGAAAGAGAGAGGATGTGCTGCCTTTCAAATGGAGAGTCAAAACGCCACGTTTTGCTAATTCTTTGCTTTCCACTCACCCACTACCATAACTAGCTAACTACTACCATATTCATTCTTTATATAGGTTGACGATTTTTTGTCACCCCACAATATCTATTTTGGCAAATGGGGTACAATAGCCTTTTCAAAAGCCTATGTATATTTTAGGGTTGTATAACTTTTCATTCCTCCATCGATCACATCATGAGAGAGTCCATTCTATATTCCTTGAAAAATAAAGAATAGCAGAGTAAACAATAACCCTTTGGTTTACAGGTTAGTCTAAAGCTGCTTCCTTTATTCCATTTTATACTGCTTGCATGAAAAAAATTTCTTCTTCTCCTATTGGTAAGTTTATGCTTATTTTAGGCTGTTATATGCCATTTCTTCATCTGGGTTTTCATGGTACATTCTCATTCACTTTTACAATATTTTATTAGCAGTGCATTCGTATCTTACCCATATAAGTCATTTTTTAAACAGTATTCTTTTATTATTATTATTGTCTTCCATGAAAGAGGAAGGACAGTTCTGATGTTGAAATTTCAAGGAGTGTTGTGTTGCAAAAGTAGGTTTTGGTCTTTCTGAGGGACCTGTGTGGGTTGATGGCACTGCCCCACAGAGACCCACAGGATCCACAAATCCTTCTCCTGGGATGATGTCAGAGAAAAGGAAAGGTGAAGGAGGAGAATATATGGCATTGGACTTTGTCATTACATGCATATTATAGTATATAATTACATATTATATCTTTGGAATGTGAAACAAAGACCATGTAGCTTAGACAGAGCTGTAAACCCAGTTCTGATATGGAGAGAGGCTGTGTGTATCTGGGTACTTTATTACCACAGCCTAAAAGGACCTCTTTCCTTTTTAGCCTTCTCTGTTTTGAGAGGTCTGAGCTCTGATGGAGTCTCTCTGTTCCATCCCTGGTATTCTAAGGGAATTCATGGCTACGACAGCTATGCTGTACCATATACTTTTCTTGGGCTTTGAATTTCTCCCCATAGTACTGGGGATTTTTCCATTTTTCTTTTTACTTTACATTTGGGGTTGTTGTTGCTCAGTTCTGCATTTAGAACTTCACATCAAGATGGTCTTCCTTGTCCTTTCAACGCCTATGCATGATGACAAATCTCTCTTCATATTTCTTCCTCTTTTTTAGTTGTGTGGTTTGTTTCCTTTACCTTGCTGGCTTTTATAATTTGTCTGTTTCTATTCAGAATTTGGCTCTTCTCAGACTTCTCTCACCTTTTCTGTGCATGGGAGGAATCCTAACCATTATTTACTGCCAATTTTCTTACTTTTTGCTTCCCATTTTCCTTTCTGATATTTGCATTCTGGTAGTTCCCCCTGCAGATGCTCTCTGTTTGATGATTTTCAACTGATAATTTTTCTGTATATTGTTCGCTCGTTCTTATATATAAATGACATATATTTGTTTATCCATTTCTTCATTTCTGGATATGCAGGGAAGAACAAGTAGATAGGAGTGTGGGGTTGGTGGTTGAGCAGGGAATGACAGAGGAAAGTGGTGGTGGGAAGTTGGAAATGGCATCATGTTCCACTCTTAAACAGAGTCCATTGCCTATGAAAGAAACACCCTTAAACTATCATCCATATCCACCTCCTCTGGCCAGATATGAGGATGTTGTAGCCTGTCCAAGACTCTTCATGGATACTTTGGAGAAGCTCCATGCTACAATGAGAACCAAGTTCATGTAAGCTTTATTTCTTGACCCTTTACCTGGAACTTGGTACTCTTGTTCCATGACTTCCATGTGCCTTCAGTTTAATCACTTGCAACATGTAAAATTCTCAATTTTTTTATAGGAAGAACTGATTATTTGTTAATTGTAGACTCTTTGCTCTTTATTAAAGTACATGGATGTGTACTTTGTTTATGAACATCCGTGTGTCGTTAGCTTTATGAGTATGTTCTGTAACTCGATTTTGCCAACCTTCCAAAAGATTTGAATATGACTGACTCAACTTAAAAAAGCATTGTTCCAACTTTTTTGGGTTGGCTACCCAAATCCTATTCTTCCATTTTGCTCTATTAAGAGTCATATTTTTTGTGATATCGTACATTATCTTGTCTTTTTTATGTTTAAGTAAATTTTATTTTCAGAAAACATCCTTGTACATTTGTTGCTGTTACCAACAAGTAATCCCAATTGCCCTGGACCAATTATCCCACCACCTAGAGGTTGAACTATTATTATAAACCTCCACTTCTGTGGCTGCACATAGCTGATGCATTAGTCAGGGATGCTGCTAATTGGCTGTCACTATCCTGTTGGTTTATGGTCAAGGCAAGCTTCTTGCAAATACCAGGTCCCAATTGTAGTATACCAGACTTCATGGGTTATTGCTGATAAATGAGAGAGCAAAAAGATCTTTCAGACATATTTAAGGAATGGTTCTAAAGTTTCTAACTTTGTGCAGAGTGATTATTAAATGCATTTATATCCGTTTCGGGGCTTTGGGAATCAGGCAGGTGTATGACCTGGCTTAGTAGCTGTAATTTGTTGTTTTTATTGGTTTTCTCATTTATCATGATAAGAATCTGATGTAGGAGCAGGAATAAGGAATGAACTCTTCTCATCTTGACTTAAAGTGAAGTGACTTTTTCTTGTAGTATCTCACATGCTATTTCTCTGCTGAAAGAGCTTCAGATCGATTGGCCATCACATAATCTTAGGCTTACTTTGTCACTCCTAGACCATAAAATTTGGGATAAGAAGTGCATATGAGGCATTTCTGTCATTTTTGTAATATGCCTAGAATCCCTCCCATCTCAATGTTTGCTTTGTCACATTTTGAAGGGGTAGCTACCCTGGGTCAAGTTAAGATTGGTTTGGCTCAATAATAGTGTTACTGTTGAATAAATAAATTGAACAGGTAGTGGTTGCTGGTAATTGACATGTACCCAAGATTGATTTTTCGGTGCAAAGTCTGCTCCTTGTAATTGCAGCTTGAATTCTAGCATGTCTTCTCCATCTTCCCCCATCAAGTTGTTTGAGTTTGGGGTGGCAGGAGTGGGAGTAGAGGAGGTGCTGCCTACTGGACAAGGGACACTTCCTTGCTCTGATTGTTCTAAGCTTTGTATTTTTGCCTCCATGACATTGGATTAAATTTAATTACAAAATTTCTATCTGGTCTTTTCTCACTGGATGATATTTTGTCAGATCATGCTGAATTGTGCTGACGGACCAATCACATATTCTCATTCCTTCTGACCATTCAATTTATGTATTAAATGAAACTTATACATTATGCATGCTGACATTCTTTTTCATTGTCGCTGTGATAGTAGTATTCTTCATTAAAACAACCAATCGATATGTCTTTGAGGGTTAAGTTAATGTGCTGGTAACAATTTGGTGTTCCATGATATGTTTTCCATACAATGAAAAGTTTTATTCATGATAATCTATGCAACAAAGACATTTTCTGATTACTTAAAGCGAAAGGTCGGCAATGTAAAAAAACTTTTACTGTCCAACATTTATTAGTTTAGTAATTTTTGCTCATTTGGGTAGCTGACAAGATAGATAAATCAGCATGTTACATTGTGTTTACCTATGCAGAAAGCTTTGATATTCCTAAGAAATCCTTACTTTTTTTTTATTCAATGAGATCAATAGATACATGCTATTAATTTTGTTGGAACCCAATTACCGAAAAAGAAAATAATTGTTAGAGGCTGCCGGAAAAAAGAAGGTAATCATTGAAGCTTTTATATCCAAGCATCTATCTTTTACATGGCATCAACTTAAACAAGGGTGATGGATATGAGATGGAGAAACATATTACTGTTAGTTTAATGTCAGTACTAGTGGGATAGTAGTTTGGTGCGTATCCATTTGTTTATTCATATATTCATATCAGGAATGAGACACATCTGAATGTGATTTATAGTGTCTATGTTACTTGTTCGAAAATCCAAGAAATGACCATTACATCGTTTTGTGTATACCTGCTGTTTTTTTTAACTCATTTGGGTGCCCCTATCTTCAGGATGCCTCAGAATAATTTGCAAACCTTATACAGAATGTGTTAACAAGACAAGCTGGAGCATCAGTTGTTTTTTCTAATTTTTAAAAGATTTGAGTTCAGTGGTGTGTAATTTGCATTTTCTTCCAAAGTGAATGAGAAGGTGTAGATTCTAGCTTATCTTGAACCCTAAGCCGTAAATCATTGAATTTGAGAACATCTTGAGTTGACAGTATTATATTTGAGAAGATAAGAAATTAATTTTCAAGGAGCTTGTTCATATTCCACAGGAAGACTGTAAGATTCCACCATGAATAATGAAATTGACCATGAACTGTTCAAGGGGGATTCCTTGCATAAATATATCCATTTATAGTTGCATCAGATAGTCTCATGAGGAGTAATGTTTGCACTCCATTTGGGTTCTCTCTATGTTATTCATTTTTGAGCCCAGTGTCCAACATAGGCTTCATGTGGGGCTAATGTTGTCCCTTTGGTACACAATTTACTTGATCCATAGCTGATTTTCTTGGGGAAAGATAGATGAAACTAGCAGTGCTGCTATCGATTGTGTATTTCTTCAGTTCTTATTTGCATTTATGCAAAGGACTTATTTGTTCTAAAAAATGTTGTAGTAGTCAAAAGTTATGGCCGTAGAAGCTAGTGGTTCAACCCAAGAATATTCAGCTCTTTACCTTTTCCTTTAGTTTATCACGTATAGTCATTTGCTAATTATGTTAATATGATTTTTCGAGTCTCTTGTAGGATAGAGATCATTCTTGATCATTTAGACCAACATATTTTATTCCTCCGTATGAGCATATACTTCAATGTCAACTACACAGTTGATCTAGCCCAGCTTTTCCATATAGAGTATTCTGTGGTCTTGGTTCTTTGTTTAGTCCGAAGTAAAACGGTTAATAGGACTTGTGCGATTCTTTCATAAAGGTTGTTTTATGAAATTTTTGGGCCTCAAAAAATTTTTGGTGGATGAGAGGAGGGTAGTAACTGAGGCCTTAAGTCCTGTCTTAGTTCTTTAGCAGATTGCAGCTCTAGGGGAAATAGTGATGAGGTGTTCCAACTTGACATTTCGGAACAATAGTGAATAAGATTGAATCTAGGAAACTGGTGTTAGTTCCAGTGTTTCTGGTATGCTACTTGTGATCTCTTATTAAGTAGCCAAAACATATTTTTGTTAAGTGAGAGTTTTTACAGTTGAGTGTTGGCAAGCCCTGTGGTGGTGGCATGATTTGTGGCAATTCTTACTTTTATCTGTGCATGTTGGTTTGGTTCAGCTAAGAATTTTTTTTACCTTTTTATACCTGAATTCCTGTAGACTTCATGTCATAATTAAGCTTATGCTACTATTTTTCTACTTCCATTCTTATTTACGTAAATGCCACTTTTACAATTGAAGCTTTATTTTGCGAATGTGTGCTTATTGTAGGATCCCTGTTATAGGGGGCAAAGATCTAGACTTGCACCTGCTTTTTGTTGAGGTGACTTCTCGTGGTGGCATTGAAAAGGTAATTTGATGTTTCCTCCTCATCGATTTAGTTGAAACTTGTGTTCTTGTAATAGTACCATTTGTAGCCATTTTATATACTGTGCATTTGCTGTTTTGACACAAGTAGCTCGAAAATAATGTGCTTTTATTTTTTTACTTTAGAATGGTGAAGCAAAAATATGATAATAGTTCTGAGCAAACATTTACAGAATTCTGTGCCATTTTAATGATTTTGATTGATAATTGAATTTTGATTAAAGCACCTGAGTGTATTTATATTATATCACATGCTCTTGAAAAGTGAAAATTTTATGTTTTTTCTCATGACACTCGAGTCATATTAGCAGCTGCCTTTACTTCACTGAGGACAAGTCTTTGATGGTAAGGCAAGTTTGCTGTTGTTTTACTGAATTGGGTCAGTTCATAACCTTACCTAAAATTTCCTATGACATCCAAGTCCTAAGAATCCTTCATATCATGTATTTTTGCTCTGGTTGATTTGTTTACCTGACCTTGAAATTTGGCACCTGATTTGTGCTTGCTATCCTTTAATAATATACTGGCCTAACAGATTGAAAGCACAATGAGGTGGCAAATGCTGACGCCCTCTGGTCATATCTTTTACTGTGAGAAAGTCCTCGATTCTTTCTTCTCTGTTATCTTTTGTTGACGAAGCTGTGACGATTGATGAAAGCTTAAGAAGAATCTTTCTTAGTTATAATATGATCTACCTTTTTGTTTAGACTTGCTTAAATATTTCATCCAACTCATGTTTGTTTTACCTTTTTGCATGTATACATTGGGATCTTTAACTTGGTGTGGTTCATCAAGAATAACACTTCACATGACATATAACCACAACCTAGGTCTACGTCCTGTTAATTGCTATCAGTCAACCTAAATCACAGCAGAAATGGAAAATCCGAACCAGAGACTCCATTGGGATATGCACCTAGATGTTGTAGCAGCCAGCAAATACGCCAATCTTCAAAATGTTGGGGTTGTCCTGTCAGAAGTAACCAAATGGCTACATTTTTTTGGAAGGGTTGGGGAGGGAGGCGGGGTTTTTTTGAAGCTTGCATGCTAAGCCATGATATAATGTTGTTTGGGAGGCATGTTTACTTCTTGATCTCATTTTGCTGATCGCTCACAAGTAATTTTTATGGCCAAATCGAATTAACAGGTACTTGGTGAGCGAAGATGGAAAGAAGTAACTACTATTTTCAGTTTTCCTCCCTCAGCGACAAATGCTTCTTTATTCTACGCAAATATTATATCTCATTGCTTCACCACTATGAGCAAATTTACTTTTCAAGGCCAAGGTTGGACTCCTTTACATACTGGTGGTGCAGAGACTCTGGTGCTTTTGCTTTATATTTTGTGGCTGTTCACAATCATAGAACAAAAGTCTTTTGCAGTTGCCTTGCAGAATGTGTCTACCGTATTAGCTCCACCTCATGGGTTGGCTGGACCCGTGGCTGCTATCACCAGAAATTCAAGCATCTGTGGCACAGCCAAAGAGGATACATACAGCAGGTTTATTGCCCAGAGCTCTTCTTGTTACTGTGCAACTGATAAATTGGAAAATATATGGTGTGCTACACACCTAGAGCACTCATCGTTAGATACTTTCAATGCCTCACTGTATTTGCTGTGTTTAAGTGCAGGTGTGCCTACATGCATTATATGGTTTGTTGTGCTTGTTTGTTTATGTGCGCTTATCTTCCTCTTTCCTCATGTTTTCTCTTTGCATAAACAATTTTGGGAATGGTGTTGCC